GGGGGGCGGTCGGAGCTCCCGAGAGGTGTCGGGATCAGTGCCTGGCAGTTTCCTCGCTCGCCTTTTGCCCGTGTGTACGCGGATTTGTAGTTGACAAGCATAATATTCCAGCTGTCTTAATAACTTTATTTTGGCTCTTGGGGGAAGAGAAATATGTTGCCTCTGTGAAAAGAATGTGACTGAGAAAGGTTGTTCAAACCTCCTACATGTTTGGCAGACTTTTGGGGCAAAGTGTTACTGGGCACGTTGGAAAAGGAGCGGAGTGTAGGTCATTTTCCAGGGAGAGCTGACCAGCGTGAAGCGCGCGGGCTGTGTTCCAGGAAGGCTCATGAATGGCTGCGATTGTGAACTGTCCACTACCGCAGCGAAACGGCCGAAACCCGAGCGTGCAGCCCTCTCCTCGGCGTCTCGGCTCAGCCGAGTCACGCGTTTGTACGGTGTGCGAACTCTTGATAAAACTGAGCTCGTGGGACCCCGTTCATCACGCAAGGACACGCCTGGGCACGGGCATTAATGTAACGTCGAGGACTTTCTCGTGCGTTGCCCTGGATGCACAGTGCTCGTGTTCCTAAAGAAAAGCGAAGGCGTGCTGCGAAGGCTGCGGGGCGCAGCAGTGGGACGGCGTTGCTGCAATCTCTCCCTCTCTTCACTCTGCTCACAGTGTGCTGGAGCTCCGAGCTGCGCAGCTCCAGGCCTGCGGTCGTCAGCTCTCCAGAAGGATTCTGCGTGTGGGTGAGACTGGAACATGGACATGCTCCGGTCAGGAGCGACTCCGGATTGAGGGCCAGAACCACAGCATTTGGGAAACAGTTGAGATGGGACTTCCCAGGTGAACGTTCCAGTTGGCGATCCCCCGTGGTGGTCAGTGCAGCAACCCACCGGGTGGTTGTGTTCTCTGTGCTGTACTCCCTGTACCTACAGGGACACCAGGAGAACTCCAGCACCACACCAGTCTGTGGGTTATGGAAAAGCTACCCTGCCACGCGTTCCGCTCTTGAGCATTACAGGGCATCCAGACCGACGGGTTGCTCACCTGACAGCGCTGCTTCCCGTGTAAACATTAGGATACCCTCGTTCGAGAGTCAGTATGTTCTTAAAGTTAATGAGCTATCAGTGTTTCAGATGAGTTACTAAAAGGGGGAAAGCGGGAGTGCTCCAAGGGCGTTCACAGGTGGAAGGGCTCGGTTTGTGTCAAGCACTGGTGTGCCGGCTCGCCGCGGCCGCTCTCCGTACCCAGCGTGCTGCTCCGCTGCTGTGGGTTCAGTGTCTCGGCTCCTGTGGAGGAGCGCAGGGCCCTGTAGTCAGTGCATTCGGAATGCTGTTTTGTGTGGGAGAAGTAACAGCCTGGAAGCTTTCTAAACTCCTCATTGAAGGCCGAACGGCCGGGCGTTGAGCTGGTTTCGAGCAGGCGGGGCGGCCAGGCTGCTGAAGAGCTGCAGTTTCTCTCGGGCTGTGCACGTTTACCGGAGGTGCTGATAATCCGCGAGTTCAGGCGACACAGTAGTAAAAAGGAATTGTTCCTTGTGAACATACTGGTATTTGACTATCAGCCTGTTGCCTTTTGAGTTAACGTAAAAGTTCCAG